AGCTTATATTTCAATACTAAAGTCACATGTTACGAATTAAGAATATTCTTAAAAATTTTCTTCTTAAAACCACTTAGGCTATCTGTGTCTCTGATAAATTTGGGTAAAAAATTATAACTTTTAGCCCCACGGAAGGCAAAAGCCCTTTGCCCAGCCGCGTTTATGATATTCATCATTTATTGAAGAAAATATATAGAAACGGCAACACAACAACGCGCCAACTCCGTTCCGCTTTGCATACTTATGTTACGCACTCTCCCTTAACAAGTATCCCTGAAATTCGCCCGCGCTGAAATAACAATTTGGCATGTCGGATAATAAATAACTTATTAGACATTTTTTTGCGTCGTATCGCTAAGTAATTTTACCCGTTATTTGTATTTTGACTCGCCCTACGGGCTCGTCAAATACGGCATAACTCGTAAAAATACTCATCGATACTACACAACAAAGCGTCCAAAAAGTTATATACATTTTCATCTTGTTCTACCTTTACTAAGAATAGGGATTTATATACAAAGTTTCTCCCACCTTTTATGCATCCTAATTATTCATTTTTGATAATGATCTTTTAAAATACTGCTATAAAAATGCTAATACGGTAAACGCGAAGCAGTGAATCCAAAGTCTACTTCTTTACTTCCTCGTTTTTGATAATACATTACAACAATTTAAGAATAGCGATTGAAATCATGTGGTAAACAGAAAAAAGGTTCCGTCACCGTCTCCGAAACCAGTATTTACAAAAGCCATTACCCTTAATGGCGTTCATAACATTTACTCCTAATTACTGTAGATATCTTTCGAAGGAGACTCTCGTTTGTGGGAATAAATCCCAGACCCTGGAAAAAATAGAAGACTTCGATACCGAAATGAAAAGCACTGAAAACGAGACACGAAATTTATCGCAAACGCTGACAAGATTTCGAGATCGGAATACACACCTTTTTATGAGGTGAAAGAGCCCCCGTGTGGGCAGATTTCAAGGGGGAGGAGAGGAGGGGGGTATCGTTAACAACACATTGAAGAGATCCAACAGCAAGTCATTATGTTTCTTCTCACTGTTGCCCCGCTTTGATGCATACTGTGTACATTATTTCGTTGGCTGGAAATTGGTAAAGGCCTTTGATTTTTTGGTTCTGTTTGTTTGTTCGTTTTTATATAGCATAATTGTAACTGTTGTCATAAATTTTGACCTGTTTCAGCTGAGATAAATGACATTATTATCGGCCAACTGTGTTTCGTAGAGTACGAATAACGCTCAAAACAAGCTCAAATATCTCACGGTATTTGTACTCCTGAGAAACGGTTAGACAAGTTTTCTCGCATCGCTCAAGTTACAAAAAAATAGAGGACAATTTAAATTATTTTCTGACGAAGAAGAGTCGGAATGACTGGCGAATATTGATCTAAGTTTATTAGATAAATCGAGTGAAGAAAAGCAGTTGAATGACAACGAAATTTCATAATTTATTGAAGAAAATATAAACAGCAACGCGACAAAGAAGACGAATTCCGTTCCGCTTCGCATGCCTCTATCATGCAGTCCTTGTAGATAAATATCTGCGAAGTCTGCCCGCTCTGAAAAAACAATTTGGCGTGTTGGATGATAAATCTCTTTTCAAACGTTTTGTTATATAGTATAGCTGAGTATTTTCTAACTCGTTGTTAGTATTTTGACGTGCTCTACGAGCTCGTCAAAATACGGCTCAACTCAAACATTCTCAGTGATACTACGCAATAAAATGTTCAATAAGATATATATATATACTAGATTTTTCATCAGTATTTAGATTAGGAAGAGCGGGAGGAGGGTTTTTATGGAGCGGAGGGCTTTGTACAGCTTAAGATCTTTATGATATCTTGAACGTCAAAAGGATGTACCTTCACTTCACATTAATGCAGCTTTTTGGCCCACTTGAGAGGCGTCTAAAATGCATTAGGATTACAATGTTGAGTGGCCTTGCATCCATATGGAGATACAGCTAAGCTAAATATCTCGCACTGAACTTGCGCCTCGAACAAAACCATCATTATTAAGTCGTATGAGACCAGTTTAAGCGTTCATGAACATAGTGCCACAACACTTATAATGAGGACCTGTTCCAAAGCTACGAATCAAAATGCTTATGTGTAAATCGAAATGTAACAGTCGCCCAAGCGTGGAAATTTCCTATCGTGTGGAGAGTCAGAAATAAGCCAACAAAAGGTAGCAGTCATGTCTAAAATTGGCCACGAGTGACCACCATTTTCAAACAAAGGCCGTTTAGAGAGCCAGTGCCACTACATCAGAGTCAGAGGAAACTAGAGCCAGCTAGCCCGTGCATGAATGTAATATATGACAAACGGCCTCATGTTTCTAGGCTGTTCAATGTGCATTACGAGTGTCCAGCAAAGTTGTTAGAAAGTAGATTATTGGCTTAAACGAGTTTAAAATAATGGGCAGCCATTGTCTAAATGAAGCTTATTCCTACTTTCTGACATTATTACAGAGTAATTTAACTCAAATAAGAACTTCTATTCCAAATATTAAAAATAATCATTTTTGCCATCCGTTTGACAGCATTTTCCAGTGTCTCACCAAGTTCAAGCACCAGCAGCACCATTAACGCACTGAGATTAGGAGGAAACAGCTCCAGTGTTCCACTAAGTTTAAGTAGCAGCAGCTCCAGTGTCGAGCTCAGTTCAAGTAGCAGAGGCTCCACTGTCCCACGAAGTTCAAGCAGTACCAGCTCCATTCTCGCAGTGAGTTCAAGAAGCAGCAGTTCTATTGTTGCACTAAGTTCAAGAAACAACAGTTCCATCGTCGCAATAGGTTCAAGTAGCATCATCTCCAGTGTCTCACTCAGATTAAATAGCAGCAAATCCACTGTCTCACCAAGTTCAAGCAGCAGCAGCCTCATTGCTTTACAGAGTTCAACTGGCAACGACTCCGCTGTCCCTCAGAGTTCAAGTAGGGGGGGCTTCATTGTCACACTGCGTTCAAGTAGTAGCAGATCCAATGTCTCACCAATTCCGAGTAGCACCATTACCATTTTCTCACAGATTTCAAGTAACCGCAGCTTAAGTAGAAGCTATACCAATGTCTTACAGAGTTTAAGTAGCAGCATCACCGTTGTCTCAGATAGTTCAAGTGGTAGTAGCTCCATTGACACAATGGTTTCATTAAGTGGCAGTTTCATTTTCCCACAAAGTTCAAGTAGTTCAAATTCAAATAGCAGCAACTCCATTGTTGTACTTAGTTCGGATATTAGCAGCTCCGTTGTGGCACTGAGTTCAAGCAGCAGCAGCTCCATTGTTGCACTTAGTCCGGATAGCAGCAGTTCCATTGTTGCACTGAGTTCAATTAGCAACAGCTCCAGTGTCTCTAGTTCAAGTAGCAGCAACCCTCCTATAACCCTGATTTCAAGTAGCAGCAGCTTCATTGTTGCACCGAGTTCAAGTAGCAGCAGCTCTACTGTTGCACCGAGTTCAAGTGGCAGCAGCTCCACTCTCTCACTAACGTTAAGTAGCAGCAGCTCTAACGTCGCACTGATCTCAAGCAGCAGCAGCTCCATTATTGCACCGAGTTCAAGAAGTAGCAGCTCCACTGTTTCTTTAACGTCTAACAGAAGCAACTCCATTGTAGCATTGAGTTCAACTAGCAGCAGCTCCACTGTCCCACAAATGTTTAACAGTAGAAGCTCTATTGTAGCACTGAGCTCAAGTGGCAGCCGCTCCCCAGTTTCATTGAGCTCGAGTAGCAGCAGCTCCATTTTCATACTCAGTTCAAGTAGCAGCGGCTCCAATGTTGCACCGAGTCGAAGTAGCAGCAGCAGCTCCATTGTAGCATTAAGTTCAAGTAGCAGTAGCCTCAATGTCCCACAAACGTTTAGCAGCAGCTCTATTGAGGCACTGAGTTCAAGAGGCAGCCGCTCCCCAAATTCATCGAGCTCGAGTAGCAGCAACTCCATTTTCACACTCAGTTCAAGTAGCAGCAGTTCCATTGTTGCATCGAATTCAAGTAGCAGTAGCTCCATTGTTGCACCGAGTTCAAGTGGTAGCAGCTCCGCTCTCTCATTATCGTCAAGTAGCAGCAGCCCTAGGGTCGCAATGATTTCAAGTAGCAGCACCTCCATTGTTGCGTCGAGTTCAAGTAGCAGCAGCTCCACTGTCTCTCTAACGTCTAGCAGCAAGAGCTTCATGGTAGCATTGAGTTCAAGTAGCAGCAACTCCACTGTCCCACAAACGTTTAGCAGCAGCAGCTATATTTTCACACTCAGTTCAAGTAGCAGCAGCTCCAGTATCGCCATCCTTTTAAGTAGCAGCAGGTCCACCGTTGCTCTGACTCTCAGTAGTAGCAGCTCCATTGTCTTACTGAGTTCAAACAGAAGCAGCTCCATTGTTGTACCGATTTCAAGTAGCAGCAGTTCCACTATCTCACTAACTTCAAGTAGCAATAGCCCCAATGTTGCTCTGAGTTCGAGTAGCAGCAGCTCCATTGTTGCCCCGAGTTCAAGTAGCTTCTTTGAGGCATTGACTTCAAGTAGCAGCAGCTTCAGTGTCTTACCAAGTTCAAGTAGAATCAGCTCCAGTGTCGCACTGGGTTCAGGTAGCAGCAGTTCCGTTGTTTCACTAAGTTCAAGTAGGAGCAGCTCTAGTGTCAGCGGTAGCGGCTCTAGGGTATTACCGAGTTCAAGCAGCAGTTTCTCGTCAAGTTTAGTGTACAGCATCTCTCCAACTTCAAGTAGCCAGATTATCCGTAAGTATTACGCCATTTACAAATTTATCCCCTTTAGAAACTGATTCGCTCCTATGGTTGAATGTGCTACTTATTTTGAAGATTAGCCCACCAGGGATCAAAGTTGTCAGACTTTATTTGTACTAGAGTGAATAGGGCTCGATACATTCGCGGTTACCTCCTAGTCAACTGAAAATTAAGTAATTTCGAGATAAATTGCTATTTAAAATATTCTTAGTTGAAGCGACAAACGGTTTCGTAACTTACAATTTGTGTTTCTGAGTAGTTGGATCCCTTGATTCGCTATCTCAATGCTTTATCTTGATGCTTACGTTTACGACTGTTGACAACCAGCTTCGAATCTTGTTACATCATAAATTGTTCCTTTTAAAACATATGTCACATGACCTATTTTTCCCGCCCCGCGTAGTCGAGGTGAATTCGCAATTACGATAGTGAATTCTAATTCTTTGTTACGCGTGTCACTAAACATGCAAATCAGAAACAACATAACATGCCCTTTTGCAGGTCGTCAATTTATGAGTTTCCACAGTGCAATGCGTTACATAGAAATCATTTCTTTGGAGTCGGACTTCGTGACTCAGAGTAATTATTTGCTCACCACTGTTACAGAATGTACACCTCAAAGAGTAATGCTTAAAACTAATCTTCTTATCATCTTTTACTTGGTTAACAATTTTGAGAAAAGTGTTGTTACACTACTTGCACTTGTTTCTTTCTCATAGTAACGATAGGTTCCTTAAATTATTACAAAGCTTTTGATAATCTTACTTCTTAGAATAAAAAGCATGACACACTGTAATTAGTACATCGTGTTACATAGCCTATGTAAGATGCGTTACGTTGCTTTCTCACACGAATCATATCGTATTCTTCATTACTATAAGGATGCATAACCTTTATGTATTTCAAAACTCATTTTCATCAAATTATATAATGCGGAACCATGGACTCTTAAATTAGAAATAAGATACCTTGCATCTGATTATCACATTTCTTTTTAATTTTTTCTTCAGCTACTACAACACCAGCTGCAACAAGTAAGAAAGCATGTGTCCCATGCCTTTTCCTGTGAATTTATCTAATCTAAATCTAGTTTCCTTAGAATATTTAAAAGTATTTCAGGATACAATAAAACTGTTACGCCTGATAGAATAAATTAGAACAACCAGTACCTTACTAACAGCCATACCAATGATGGCCTTCAACTCTCATTAGAATGACTTCCTCTTCTTGAAACCAATTGCAGCGAAGGAAATTTTGGTTAGGATTCAAAACTTCACTGTAGAAATTGTTTTTTATTAGTTGAGACCTACACAGAGTTCACTAACTTGGTTTGATTTTAAATACCTGATTTGGCATGACACCACTAATTAGTGAAGAAAGAAGTCTGCCTTGTATTCTTTTATCTTATTAACTTATGCCACACCAATTTTGCAATAACACAGCGTACGAGAAAACCGAAAAAGTAGCTGCCAAGGCTCTTTTCATTATGTTTCAAACCTTTACCTATAGAAAACAATTGTTTTAGGTTTCAACTAGTTTCCACAAAGGATGCTATAATTAACTTCATTCTCTGTCTTGAAATATGCCATATAATAGTTAAGTACAGGAAACTCATTGATTAGTCACCGATGTACTTCTTATTTTATTTATTTTTTAATTCAAAGCAACCCCAATCGCGAGCAACTTGTATCCTTACGGTCCAAATCAGAATGATAATGAACTTCGTCTTAAAGATACTTCTTCCTACTCCGAACGATGTTTGAGGATCAACACAGATTGGACTGGATTTCCGTTTTTCACGGAAAGGCATTACAAATTATACGTGAGTATAAAACTTTCCTATTAGAAATTTTTTACATTTCAACTTATAGACAATGTTTGCGTTTGAAATGCATGAACAAAATTGAGAATCTGAGAGTAACATTGCTCCAATAAAAATCCTTGAGCTGCCTGTGCAAAAGGTGTTGGGCAACTATTTGTTATGAAAGTTTTTTAAAGATGTGTTGTTTCCATAGCCTTAAAACTCCCTCCATAAAGCATATGAAGCTCATCGAGCCGTTACCTCAATCGAAAGAGTAGAGTGGAGAACAGGAAGCGAAGTTTCCACAAACGTGCTCATTTTCTCGTACATAATTACGAAATACCTGCATCATGCTACAAATGCAAATGTGTCCCACTCCAGTTAGAGAAGAGCCTTTTTTATTTTTCATCCTTTTTTATTTAATTTTTTTTTCACCGTGTATACTCGGCAGTTAGAGTAATTTACCTAAGTAATAATTAATCTGGAATTATGGTTGCATTGTTACAAATTTGCCTATATCTATCATCCTTTGTCCCCTATTTCTAGATTTGTCGAAACGGTATAATCCAATTAAATTATGAGTGGAGCTGGTGGTGGCCACGGAAATTTGGTATCTACTGGTGGTTAAGAAACATGAGTATTATTGCGCCCTTCTGGGCCACAACTGATACTTATTTTGCCTTCAAAAACGGTCATTCAAAGGTTTATTATCAAGTGTACAGCCAAACCAAAGAAACATCAAATGAAATTCTGGATATGGCCTCAAAACATGTGCAGAGCTACACCGGAGGATTTGGCGACTTTGAGGCCACGTGGGTCCTTGTTGTGACCTGGGAAAATCTCTGTCCATACGTGTATCATTCACACTACTATTACTACCAAAATAACAACGAGCAAGATTTCCTCTTGAATTGTCCTCGAGTAAGTATTTTACACTTCATTTGTAACTATTATAAAGCAAAGGTAACATTGTAACTTAATGTCATATAATTGCTACGGATCAATTATACTTTACATAGGAGTTACCCTATGAAGTTGCCCTCCCGATTACTCCCTAAATTATACTCCACTCTGATAACTGCACGCATGAATCATGAGGTGTAATGTAGTGCATCAACTAATTGATGGAAACAGTTACGTTCAAACTATAAAAATCTGAGATATTTTTTTCAAATTTAATCGTTTTCCAGAGCAACACATTCCAAGCTGTCTTAATAACGAATGGGTTCAACGCATTCTTGATGTATAACTACCCATATGGAGGAATTCAGTGGGTGATCCATGCAGATCCGTAAGTTTTCTACGCCTCTGATTGAAACTCAAAGTCAGAATATAAATATGTTATAAAATCGTATATACATTGAAATGTGTCCTAGTTTGCCATGGAAGTAAGCATATTGCCGAAGAAACCAGAGATTCCTGAAACCGTGAAAAAATTGAGTAAAAACGATAGCATTAAGTTTTTTATCGACCATTTGCAGGAATTACTACCGATACTGGACCGACTCCTATGGTCTTCCTGTAGCCGGATGGAATGCAGGGAATGATGGGAAAGATTATATCAATATGAGAGGGTGAGATGAATCAATTGTGAGTAGAAATCGGTCAACAGGATGAATATCCGAAACAATCTCTATCAGCCAATGGCGTATGAAAACACAAAGAAACCTGCTGATTAGTACTCCGATCTGATGTGACAGAGCCAGGGATGCGGCCAACGCTGTGAATGCTCATCCACGTGTCCTGCTCGAAACAGATTATCCGTCCACGTGAAATTTTCAAAGATTCTTCAAAATTTTATATTTAGTTTTTTTTTTTAATTCAGGAAATTTTCAAACCACCTGTTGTGATTGGTGCAGATGGGTGTGAACCTTTAATTTTAGTCTGAAATGCCTCACAAAGCCCCGAACTCAATGTACTTATAACTTCTATCAGTATAAATCCGGATCTACTAGCGCTTTCTCACAAGTGATACAATCTGATTGGCTACGTTACTTGCCATCTATTGAGTGATAGTTACCTAGCAAAGAGTGTACCCTAAGACTGAGTTATTTCTATCATTATTTGATAATATTTACCCCTGTCTTATCGATACATTTTAAACAACCAATTAATCTATAGTATAACAGTTAAATGGACGATTCGTTTAAGACCTCCTGTGATGCATGATTTTTTATTCCAAGCTTTCCCCGATCTGCGGCATCAGACATTCCCTGACGATGCTGTAGATCGGCGAAAGGTTGGAACAAAAGAGAAGTAAATTACCTCAACGCCTCAGTCGATTTGATTAAATTTACCTCCTTTTAAAGGAAAACATCAACATTTTAATAAGAACAAGTATGCGTGAGAGATTTTTCGGGAATCGCTCTCATCAATTGTCATCCGATAGAAATCTAGACTTTATAAATTAATAATTTAATTTAAAAGAGAAGTAAATTACCTCAACGCCTCAGTCGATTCAGTTAAATTTACCTCTTATTAAAGGAAAACATCAGAATTTTAATAAGAACAACTATGCGTGAGAGATTTTTCGGGACTCGCCCTCATAAATTGTCAACCGATAGAAATCTAGACTTTATAATTTAATTGTTATAAAAGACGGTAGCGAAAGTAATTTTTTGAGGTTAATTTTTCTGATTGCAGTTCTGGCACATTTGGGATGTATGACCTCGATAAGAAGGAAGGAAACACAGGTTTGCAGGGAAGATACTTTTGGAGAATTGAAAACAGTAGTGGACAAGGTGCACTGGAGAAATGCTTGAGTTGGATCAGACTTAATGAATACTGGGGATTCCGTTACTGGTATGACCGACTCATAAAACCAGACCGGGAAATGGCCTGCCCCTGTACTGCTTGGCAGGCATGGTTTGATCGGGGACGATTCAGATGGAATTGGTGGAACTCATGGCCAGACTGGTGTTTTGAGTCCAGACGATCCAGGTTCTTTTATCGCCACACCACGAGTACTGGACTAATAGGTGTTCGGATGAGACAACAGTGCTGTTACTCCACGGAATGGGAAGACTGGGCTGCTCTTAAGCAGGGCCCCCCTGACGGAGGACGAGTAAAAGTGACAGTTTTTTATTACTGGCACAATAAGGTTCAAACCTTTTACACTGACGAACAGGCTTACCAGTATTGCTGCGTAGATCAACCTTTCTGCAATTTGTTCTATGCTTATCGTCCGTCTGACAGCTGCGCACTGTATAGGCCTCCAATTAGACGTGAGTTTTACATAATATGTACTTATTAAATGAGTGGGAGGGCCGGACGGAAAAAATATTTGGCTCGAGATCATGACCTACGGACTGAGCGCAGCCAGGTTCGTGCTTCAAAACCGATAGCCAAACATTTTCTTAACCGTTCCGACTAAACCTAGTCAAAACGCATTTTACATATGACCCCCCAGTGTTTAAAATTTCAACCTAGATAAGATGCGATAGAAGGGCCCACGCAGCCACGCGAGCACAAAAAAATTCTGCAATTATTACTTTTGCGTTTTTTTTGGGAGTAAAAACAAGAAACTCACAACTCCTTGAAAAAAAGCAACTTTTTCTTCATTTCGGTTTTTCTTCAAGTTTTTGCCACAAAGCGACGTGAGGGTAGTAGGGCAGGACGGCTTTTTCCGGAACGGCTCTCGTCAACCCGTCTGGCCCTGCACACGTCAGTTTTTACTGTGATTTTCTATAGGATTGCGGGAGAGGGTTCGGACGGATCATATGATATGTACTTACTGACTGAGTGGGAGGGCCGAACGGAAAAATATTTGGCTCGAGGTCCGTTGACCTACGGACCCAGCACAGGGGGGTCCGTGCTTCATGACCGAGAGCCAAATATTTTTTCGTCCGGCCCGACCAAACTCAGTCAATAAGCATTTTAAAATATGACAATTAACTGTTGAAAAATACAACCTAAATTGGAAGCGAAAGAAGGGCACACGCAGCCACACAAACACAAAAAAAAATTCTGGATCTATAACTTCTCCGTTATTTTTGCGACTCAAAACAAAAACTCACAATTCCTTGAAAAACGCGACTTTTTTCTCATTTCTGTTTTTACTTTACGTTTTTGTAATAAAACGATGTAAGGGCAGCAGGGCCGGACGGCTTTTTCCGGACCCACTCACGTCAACCCGTCCAGCCCTGAACACGTCAGCTTTTATTATTATTCACAGTTTCTTTAGAAACTTTCAGCCTTTAGCTTTTATTATGGTTTTCTGTAGGATTGCGCGAGCGGGGCTGGACGGATCATATGATAATTTTTGTTAGGTCATAGATCTACCAAATCATGCTGTATCATCTTGTGTCGTCCCCTGTGCATATTAACATTTAATACCTGTTTTTTCAATTTAAGCGCGGGTCATACAAAACTACAATGGAACTTAATAAGCTTACCTCTCGTAAATGTTGGATATTAGACAGTTTCTTAGGAAGAGCGTTATAAACCGTTACTCTGGGAATCAAACCATTTACTCTATATAGATCAGATTATTTGCAATATTAAGCCAACAAAGAGGACTATTTCTCTTTTGGTACAGGATGGTTCTGGGGTGATCCTCATTTCAAGACACTGGACGGCGGAAACTACACGTTTAACGGTCTTGGTGAATACACTATGGTCGATGCACAAAATGGAACATTTCAACTTCAGGCCAGAACAAAACTTGCTCAGGGAAATTCAACCACAGCGACCATCTTCTCAGCAGGAGCTGCTAAAGAAGAAAATTCGAGCACCATCGAGGTTCGAGTGAAAGACGGTGGTGAGCATGCTACGAAGAGCTTGCCACATAGGAAAAGGAAAACCTCTTTCAAACTAATTAATTATCATTAGATACGCTCAGATCTGCAAATTAGAGTCAATACAATCTAACTCTTGCTACTTAATTTTGTTAGGTGGCTTCAATATAATGATAGACAATGCACCCTTCCATGGCTATCACAACTTAACAAATCGAACTGTGGAGGTTGGTGGAAATCTTTCGGTCTCAATACCAGAGGAAAACTGTTTACAAGTTTCTTTTCCTTCAACATCGTCCGTGCAGTTCTGCGAGAAGAAGGAAATGATGTCCTTCGTTGTAACTCTTGCTGATGTCTTAAAAAACGCCACCAAAGGATTGTTGGGAACGTGGAACGATAATCGTAACGATGACTTTACATTACCCAATGGGATGGTTTTGTCATCGTCGTCATCATTAAAAGATATTCACTACGGGTTTGGGATCAAATGTAAGTGCAATACTATTAAATATGAAACACGCTAAACTTCCTCGCAACAAAAATAATGTAGTTGGAATAGATAGCAAGTGCCTAAGATCAACGATTAATCCTTGTGTTTTGGCTCTAAGCGTTTGTGGGCACTGCTTTGCTGCGTATGATCGTCACTTGTTATTGTGCAGTTGCCCGAGCCGCAAGTAGGAACCAAGCTTTTTAACAGAGATCTTGCTACTGGAGAAGTCACCACTCTCATAAAATACTGTTAAGGAGAGTTCAAGAGATGTCGAGGGTAGCCTGTGAAGGACCATAATTTTATTAGAAGGAGAGACGAGATTTAAGAAACTATAAATTGGGAGAAACACTAGTGACATGGGAAAATTAGCTTAAGGGAAGACCAACCCTTTCACAGGCAGTTGCCAATCTTAAGAAGAGGAAAAGTAAACAGCACATTTAGAAAAACAAAACTTTTCGCTAATAGCAACCGTATATCTACCAAGTTGTATAGTTAAACGTGAGAACGTTTAGCGGTAAAATTAAGAAA